CATCTATCCAGACAGACAGACAAACAGACAGACAGACAAACAGACAGACAGACAGACAGACAGATAGACAGACAGACAGACAGACAGATAGAAAGAAAGAAAGACCAGACAGAGAGACAGAGAAGTAAGTATAAAGTTGGCTATTAGACAGTATTCCTTGTTGCATTATTATAAACATTATCATCTTATTTCCCTCACAGAGAGACTGCATTCATTTTGCACTGACGGCCAAACCTGGTCAGATGTACATGCCACGTAATAGAAAATCTTTCCAATACAAAGTCTGGCAGTTAGTGACGTCAAAACCGTTCGATATCTTCATCATGGTGCTCATTTCATTAAATACTATTGTCTTAATGATGCAGGTAGGTTTCAGACTGGGTGCGCATATTCTCGATTCCCAGACTCTGTGTCGTACGTGAGTAGAATTGTTTGTTGGTACTCTCCTGTACTCTCCTCCTTGCCCTATCAAGTGGTTTACAAAACTTGTTATAGGCTTTCCGTCCACCATGCATGGAACAATAAATCTGATTAACAATGCATTGTTGAGTCCAGGTATCAAACACGGAGTGAGTTACATGATGACTATCTTTCTTGGTTATATTAACAGTATCACGACCAGCCAGCTGAGTATAAACTAGCATGCTCATGGATGAATATCGCTTTCACTGCCCTCTTCACTCTTGAAGCAGTTCTAAAGCTCATCGCACTTAGACTGGTAAGGAGAGATTCGTAGCAAGAAATTATATTTAAAAGTAATTATAGAAAAGATTATTTGTGGTCACGAAACATGTTTGCAACTCACAGCGGATTTTTAAAGTGTGTAACTACTTTTTTTGCTGTTTTTTTAAATTTTGCTTTTCAAACATTCTGCGTTTCAGAATTATTTCCGTGATTATTGGAACATGTTCGACTTTGTTATCGTGTTAGGAGGACTTATGGACATTGCTGTTACACAAATAGCTGTAAGTTTGGTTTGAACTTTCTCTCTTTTTAAGATAAAATCTGATTAAATAGATAATTGGTAGATAGAGGGGTGGGTGGGTGGGTGGGTGGGTAGATGGCTCTTTCGGTTGATGGATGGATGAATAAATGGGCCGGACGGTTAGGACAGTGGATGGTAGGTGGATGGGTGAATGGACGGATGGATGTGTTCTTGATTGATGTTTTAGTGGGTAGACGGGTGGGTCAGTGGGTGGTAGATAGATGAGTAGGTGGGTGGGTGGGTGTACAGGTGTGAATGGTGGGTGAGTAGAGGATAGATGAATGGGTGAATGGATGGATGGATGGATGGATGTGTTCTTGATTGATGTTTTGGTGGATAAACGAGTGGGTCAGTGGGTGGTAGATGGATGGGTGGGTCGGTGGGTGTATAGGCGTGGATGGTGGATGGTGAGTGTGAAAATGGATGGATGGATGGATGGGATAATCAATAAATGTGTTTGCAGGTGCATAGATGGATGGAAGTATTCTATGGTGGGCAGGTGGATGGATAGATTTCCCCAACTTTCCCCTCTGTTTTCTCCTTCCCTATTTTTATATCTCTTACGTCTACCAATACAAACTCCACCTTCAGAACCAACTAGGTAAGGACGAAGACTACATCCCTATCGATCCCAGTATGTTCAGGTTGTTTCGAGCAGCCCGTCTCATTAAGCTCCTTCGACAAGGTTATACCATACGCATCCTACTGTGGACGTTCTTCCGCTCGTTTAAGGTATGCCTAAACAAAACATCTTACATCCACGAGTACTCATATTTTAATCTTGGGATGTTTTTATTGACGTTGAAGAGGTTGCGATTATGTTGCAATCGGGACGTAACTCAACTCAACTAATCCAAGATCATAGTGAACTGAAAGTATTGCATACGAAAATGAACAAACAAACCATTGTTATTTCAGGCTCTTCCATACGTTACTCTTCTCATCATGTTGATGTTCTTTATGTACGCTGTGATTGGTATGCAGGTAGGTAAACATGATGAGGGTGATGACATTGATGATGATGGTAATGATGGTGATGTTAGCGATGATGATGGTGATGTTGACTGATGGCAATGGCGATGATGATGGGTACTGATGGTGGTGATGATGATGATTATGATGATGACTGATGAAGATAATGATGATGATGATGATGACTGATGAAGACGGTGATGATGATACTGGTGATGATGCGGTGATGACGATGATGGTGATAATGATGATGATGATAGCGTGATGAAGTTGACGGGGGAAAGATTATGGCTGGTGATGGTGACGTTGATGACTGATAGTGATGTTGATGTTGGTGTTTTTTGCAGCTTTTTGGCAAGATTGCACTGGATGATGACACCGAGCTCAATGGATACAACAATTTCAGAAATATATTGCAAGCCTTGCAGGTTCTATTCAGGTAACTACTGTCCTGACGACTCAATGAATGAATGACTGACTGACTCAATGACTGACTGACGGACAGACTCAATGAATGACTCAATGACTGACTGACTGACCTATTGACTGACTGACTGACTTACTCACTCACTCACTCACTCAATGAGTGAATCAACGTTATTATTGCAGGTCAGCTACTGGTGAGAACTGGCATCTCGTCATGATTGCATCTTTCTCGTCTGCCAAGTGTGACCCAAGCATCGCTGCCAATGACAATGACAAATGTGGTTCGACGCTTCTAGCTGTCGTGTATTTCTGCTCATTTATATTTCTTTGTATGTTCTTGGTGAGGTTCCAATAATACTATCATTATCATTGTCTTCGTTTCCGCTAGCATTGCCATTGCTATTACGACCGTTGCCATTTCATAACTATTGTCATTGCCATTGTCAATAACATTATTATCATTAATAATATCATTATTATTAAGGAATAAATATGTTTTCATTATTCAGATGTTGAATTTATTCGTGGCTGTAATCATGGACAACTTTGAGTACCTGACGAGAGACGAGTCGATCCTAGGCCCCCATCACTTGGACGAGTTCGCCCGCGTGTGGTCTGAGTACGACCCTGGTGCAACGTATGTAACCATTTAACTGACCTATGTATTTCTACTTCCTGTCTTCAATCAATAGCATTTATTTATTTTTAAATTACGCAAGATAAATTAGGCAACATTTGGCAAGGACAAGTCAATCAGAGTGCATCTGTAACGTCTCTGTAATCTCTGTGTCCATACTTAAAGAAATTTATTCAACCCTGAAACAATCTCTGGGCTGATCTGAGTCAGGGCATGGCTAACTCACACATTGAACCCTGAAACAATCTCTGGGCTGATCTRAGTCAGGGCATAGCTAACTCACAGATCAAACCCTGAAACAATCTCTGGGCTGATCTAAGTCAGGGCATGGCTAACTCACACATTGAATTTAAATCGGATCTCGTTTAAAGTGCAGAACCAGTCTCTCTGGCTGCCACACCCTTGCCACATCCTTGCCCCCCCCCCCCCCCCCCCCCCCCCCCCCCCCCCCCCCCCCCCCTTACCCCACCATCCCAGCCACGTCCCAATCCCTTATCATATTATGATGTATTTTATTATTATATTGTATAGTGGCTATATACATCATAAAGTGGTATACAAGATGATGTGTAGCATGTCACCTCCTGTTGGCTTCGGTAAAAAATGCCCAAGAATAGTTGGCTATAAGGTAATAGACTAAGAATGGGAAAAACAGTCGGAAAAGCAATGGAAAATAAATTTAGTTCCTAAAAACGGGAAATATAATCACCAACATAGGATTACCTCAGAGTTCGTCACTAGGACCGGGATTTAGGTCACTGAAATTGGGAAATGAAATCACCAACATGAGATTGCCCCAAGGCTCATCACTGGGACCAGGATTTAGATCACTGAGTACGGGAAACGCAATCACCAACATAGGATTACCTCAGGGTTCATTCCTGGGGCCGGGTTTGGGTCACTGGGAATGGGAAATAAAGTCACCAACATGGGATTGCCCCAAGGCTCATCACCGGGACCAGGATTTAGATACTAAAGCTAAGAACTTGAAACACAATCACCAACATGGGATTGCCGCAAGGCTCATTCCTTGGACCGGGTTCGGGTCACTGGGAATGGGAAATAAAGTCACCAACATGGGATTGCCCCAAGGCTCATCACTGGGACCAGGATTTAGATCACTAAGAACCTAAAACACAATCACCAACATGGGATTGCCGCAAGGCTCATTCCTGGGACCGGGCCATAGGTCACTGGGAATGGGAAATAAAGTCACCAACATGGGATTGCACAAAAATTGAAAATCCACTGACATTCACTGGACTGAACACATAAAGAATCTACACAAAATCAAGGTTAACCCTGATCAACATAGAATTCTAAACTGGAGTATGAAACATATCAGTGATTTTATTCATCTCTATTCTTTTCTTACACTACAGAGGCTGATCAAGATGAACATGCCGGTGAGTGAGAATGGAGATGTAACATTCCAAACGACGCTCTTTGCATTGATTCGAACGTCTCTCAACATCAAGCTACGAGGGAATATGAATGCTAACGATACCGAGCTCAGGAAAATCATGAAAAGACTCTGGCCGAACTCCACGTCTAATAAAGTATTAGATAAACTAATTCCTAAACACTCTGGTAAGAAGAAAAGTAATAACAGGAGTATGAATGTTAGCATCAGAGGTTTAGCGATCCCTTCCCCCTTCCGTTTGACTTAAAAGACTAACAATTGTAGACTTTATTTCCCCCCTTCTTGGTGAAAGATAATAAGTCTAATTTCTATAGATTTGATAGTTTTTCTTTCGGAATATGATTACAAGTTCCTTTTTGCTCCTTCTATCTCTGCTCCGAAATTTCAATTATTCTTGTGGGATTCCTGTGGATATCGGGAAATTATTAACATAAAATATTCCCCTGCGCAGTTTCCTGCGCCATCTTGAAAAGTAGCCGTGCCTTTGCGAACCGAGACGAACAGTCACCTTGCAATGATAGAGACCTTTTTTTAATACCTTGGACTATTTTTTTTCTCTATTATTGCAAGCTCACCGTTCGTCTCTTCTTATTCGTGTATATTGGCGAGAAAAAGTTACCCCCCCCCTCCCCCTACGATCACGACCTGATCGGTGCATATAACCCCGGATTCAATATTCTCAGTAATAATTCTACACGTAGTAAATAGTTGAATGGTGAAATATTTCTTGATTTGAGGGTTAATATAGAAGCTTTGCACCATCACGTGCTGGTGCCCATAATGCACCTTGGGTTGCCTGTGGTTAGATGGCAGAACAATAAAATCCCTTTGCTCTCAGGAATTGAATTCTTTCTCATGTAAAACGATTGTATTGTTCCTGCCATCTAACATGGCTGCCGTCACGTGATGGTGCAATACCTCTATTATGAGGGTTTATACTTCCATTATGTTGTTACTGATGGCGACTTGATGTTGTTTTTTTTTTTGCTTTGTATTGATCAGTTCTAAGCAGTCAACAAATGACCATCGGCAAGATCTACTGCGCCAAGCTGATCCACGAGAACTACAAATACAGTCGCAGACGAGAAGAAGATGGAGAAAAACCCAAATCGGTAAGGATTTACTTTGGTATCTCACGTGACCGTGTAATCAGACTTTGATTGGTTAACTATGCCTGGGGTTCCAAGTCGAGATTGGACTTGCTGTATTCATACATTTACTGAATTTTATCAAGTGCCAGCTTCGACTTGAAACCACCACTCAGACGAATTAGGGAAAGTTAGACTATTCACGACCTCCAGCACAAAAGACCGATACTTAACCATCTGGCCAACCCGTGTGGCGGTCAATCAACGGCTGACTTGCTTTATTTTTTATCTTAACGAAAGGGTTTCCTACGAATAGTCGGTTCACTGCGTGGTCATGGTTACACGACTGATCACCTACCAACAGATGGACATCATCACAACCGTAACTATCTGACTGCCGCGCCAAGACCACGAAGCAGGACTTTGGACTCTAAAGTCAATTCAGATCTAGAACCAAGGTAAAAGCAACCTCCATCACTCATACCATACGATACGATACTTTATTTGATAAGGGTGACGCGATATGACAGTTAGTTATCTAACTTACGGCCCTCATTCCGAGCTTAAGAAAAAACTGGGTCGAGATGACATTGCAATGCATCGTAGGACTGTTTTTTTTAAAAGGGACATATTTCCTAAGATGGCGTCTATTTTGACCCCTAAAAATCCCACAATGAACTTCAATACCAACTCGACCCAGTATTTTTCTTAACATCCGAATAGCTAATCAAACAAGTCCCTGGACATTCCTCGTGTGGCAGGCATGTTCGCTAGTAGAACACGCTATTTTAATTCTCGTATTCGACCACTTCAAGACAAGTTTACGCGAGATTGAGCAAAAGTTTTTATTGACGTTGAAATAAATTTTGTTGATGCACGAGAAAGGTCAACAGAATCTGTTCGTTGAAAGAATTTGAAAGGGGGCAACGCAGACAAAAAGTTGCGGTATTGATTTGTTCATTTTCATCGCAAGTCATTAACAATGTATACAGTACCATAATCACGTGATAAAGACTAATGACGTCATCTCGTTCTAGAACTACGCATACGTCATCACATGCCGATGGTAGTAACTTGAACTCTGTGGCACGGTCACGGAGCTGGAGCTCGAAACCTAATGGTGATATAGAGATGATGGAACTGAAGGTAAAATCAAAGAGAAAAGTAATTGAAAAGTATTTTATAAAATGTAGTATTCTACTGAACAATGACAGAGTTCTTTATTCCATGTATTATTGCTTACGAAAAAGTCAAATTTTTTTAGAAACTTGATATTGCACTATTTCGGGATGACATAAAAGTTATGTAGACTTGGTAGGATAAATTGGTGCTCTTCCCTCCAACAATGGCGCTCTCGCTACGTTACTAGCTATGGAAGCTTTAGAGTTGCTTTATTTGCTCGACCTTCACATTGAGGACAATAAAAGAATGGTGAAATTAGAGAAACAATAACGAGAATGATGATAATAAAACACGATACTTAAACTGATGGAAAGATCATGATGATGATGGTTTTGAATAAAGATACATTGATGTATAATAATGGATAACAATGGTGATGATGATGATGATGATGAATGAGGATAATGATGATGGTGCTAATGTTGATGATGATGGTGATGATGATGAATGAGGATAATGATGATGCTGCTGATGATGATGTTGGGGATGGCAATGATGATGATGAGGGTGATGATGATGCTAATGTTGATGATGATGATGTTGGTGATGATGATGATGATGATGCTAATGTTGATGATGATAATGATGATAATATTGGTGATGAAGATGTTGACGACACTAGAGAAAAACGTTTGCGCATGCGTGCACTTCAGCACGTTTTCTAAGAATTTTGAAGAGTTTGAGTGAGAAAATAAATGTTTGTTTTCTCCAAGTATACAAAAAAGTTCGAGAGTATACTTTTGTCAGACCAAGATACTGTATTAACAAACGCAACATGAAAAAATTAGCCTTAAGTTTCAAGCATGGACACTAAGTTTGGCATTTTGTGAAGTCCAATTTACCAGGCATGTTTGAAAGTCAAATTTATTTATGTTTTGAGTAATTTGCATATGGATTCAGAGCATGCGCAGACGTTTTTCACTCGTGTCGATGTTGATGAAGATGGTGCTGATGATGATGCTACTTGATGATCCAATAAACAGTTCGTAATTACACGAAACAACTTAAATCATTTAAACTTCTTATTGAACTAAAAACTAAAGTCATTATTGCTGAATTATACAAAAAACACGCACTTTCCACATCTGTTTTTCCTCTGAATCAGCCCTCGTCAGCTAAATCTACTCCATGGAATGGAAAAGCCAGGACTTCAGATGAGGAATCTAAACAACCAGCTTTACCGCTATCTTACTTAGCAGCGTCTGCGACACCACGAGGGAGATCGAACCGTAATAATAGTTATAGTATAGCAGTAGGTACGAGTATAAACGCCTCGTTAAATGAAATTCATTTAATAATAATGAATACTTAACATCTACATCTACATCTAATTTTTTTTCGTCGGATAAAATAATGAGATCCGATTTCACGCCAACTTAGAACAGTCTTTCAAACGATGAAATCGTACTTGCTTTCATAAAATATGGAGATGCAGGTATAAAGAAAGAAGTTATACTCAAGCGAATGACATGAGGTCCAATAAGAATCGTGCGTAACTAAAGGGTATGAGTCTTGCTACTGTAAGCTTGAAATAAAAATTAAAAATATATATATAAATGGTAACCTGCACGAAAAATATTTTAACCAATTATGATTATTGATAATAATTTAATATCTAATAATAATAGTGTTTAAACTGCCCAAATTCAATATAACGTTTTCAGATGCGCCTGATAACCATGATAATAATGACTAACTAAGGCAATAACGACCAAAGAAATTAATTAAAGTACTCATAAGCCTTTGCACAATATTTTCAGAATTGATTCTTTAGATAGTGAATAGTTGATTGTGAAAATATTTCGTCATTTGAATGTCGGGTCTTTGAGATACGAAGGTTTATATTCCCAATATGTTAATGACTATGAAAACAAATTTGTGAGAACCTTTACGTGAGTCACGAGTAAAAGGGGGATGCTTTTAAAATACTGTATTCCAGAACCAGTGCAGTGCTGTATATTAAATGATCCCTTATGTTACGTCATAGTCATTAACATATTGGGAATATAAACCTTCGTATCTCAAAGACCCGACATTCAAATGACGAAATATTTTCACAATCAACTATCCACTATTTAAAGAATCAATTCTGAAAATATTGTGAAAAGGCTTATAAGTACTTTAAAGTTAGACATTTAAAACAAACCTTTTTGTTTCAATGTTATTCCATTCTATTCCTTTAATGCTTTTTGTTTTATTTTAAAGATTTAGAACCACATGATAATAATGCTAATCAAGGCAATAACGACCAAGGAAATTAATTGAAATTAGACAATTTTTAAAAAAATAATAAAATAAACCTTTTTGTTTTATTTTAAAGATTTAGAACCACGTGAGAATGACGAAAACGACGATGAGACACGTGCAATCAATAGCCAATCAGCTGGCGCAGAATCAAAAAGAACATCACGTGATTCGAAATATTATGACGAAATGATTTCACGAATCAACGAACAGCTGACTACCGCTGTCAAGAGCGGGCAAAGTCCGTATGCCATATACGGTATGGAAGAAGATGACGAGAATGAATGGTGTTAAAGAATTTTTATGTGGATTTTTCAACAACAATTCTCGTGTTGACCCACCTCGGGTCTGACGACAATTTCTGGCTGCAAGTACCGCTGACCGCAAGCACTGAAATATGGATGGGGTTTGGAAGCTAGAGAATTAAAGTACGGCGAAGCAATATTGGGTTGGAGAAATGAATAATGAAAAAATGAATCGCTTCGAGGAAGGACTCGAAAAAAAAACAAAGACATATGCTGCGCGTATGGAACGTATCTAACCAGGATTAACTTGAACCGTATTTTCAGAAACATCCATCCCTTGATGCTTTTAAAGAGCTTTGCAAATCATCATTATTTAACAATGAGCAAACAGTCATTTAGTCCAGAGAAGTGAATTCAAGTTTCTCGACTTAATTTAAGAAATTTCTATTATCCTGGAGCGTAATTCGTTGGAAAACGAAGTAAAGGAAGTTAATATATTGAAATTCATCCAGCTATTGGATGCTTTTGAAAAACTCTATTTGGAGAAAGCTTATCTTGTGAATACTGAATACTGCTTCGTGATGCATTATAAAGTCATTTGACTACCACTACCAAAATGCTTCGCGAATTGTCTTTCTTTGTTCAAATTTTCTGTCAGTATACATAGTAAGACAATTGGGTGCTAATTGAATAAACAAAAGAAAGTGTGCAAAGGATTCTGGTAGTTGTAGTTAATGACGCCAACATGAAAACGACCTATTGCAGCTCGAGTCATCGTGCCAAAACTAGGCTAAACCTACATGTTTTACCTTTCGTAACCGTAAAAAAAAAATTCTTGCTTTTTTCCTTCAACATGGCGATAAACTATGCATTATACAGTACCTATCAATAAGATAATCTTTTTTTAAATAGTTATAAAACTGTAAAAAACAAAAACAAAATTGGAAAATAATCCACTCGCAAATGTGTCAGGAAAAGTGTGTAACATGCGTTTATACCGAAATATTCGCATCTTCTTTTGGTATTGACTTAATATTGACAGTTTTTTCATTGGATGAAGGACTCCTTAAGAACACCATATATGGTAGCACTCCTAATGGCAGCAACTGCTTATTTGGTAGTCATTCCTAATATGGCTGGTACTCCTTATATAGTAGTCACTCCTTATTTGGCAGTGGCTCTCTTCTCTTTGTCTCCTGTCTGTCTGTCTGTTCATCATTCTGTTTTTCCATCTGTCTGTCTGTCTTTCCTGATTTGTCTCTGTCTGTCTGTCTGTCCTTCGTTCAATGAGGTCTGACACTCTCTCCCCAGCTAGCGACACTCCATATAATCTATTCTCCGACAGTAACCTCCACTGATATGCATTCATTGATTGATATCAACATTAATTTTAAAAGAAATATAACTATAATTAGTTTATTTTATATCCAGTACRAATAAGAGAATTTAAAGGTAAAGACGACAATCGCTCAAGAGTTTATTAATTATATTGGTTACTGGCGGCGGTTTTTATATACATTGCTTTATAGGAAATAAAGATTATTAAAACCAATAATTCATTTTACTTGAGTAAACTAAAATTTTTGTTTTGTTGCGAGCAGACAATGCACCTTTGGTACCACGTGACACATAAATGGTTTCCCATTTTTGACCAATCACAGAGGATGCCAACCATCCAATCAAATTGCTTGGATTAAAGTCATGTGATAATCAAGAAATTCGTGCATTTATCAAAGATGCAAGTTTTGTTCTAAAATGATCAACCTTGAACCTCTCTTCAGCCATTTGGCAGTTTCTTACTTTCCAGGCCTTTATCAGACATCACAGACAAAGTTTAGAGGCAAGATGGGAGTGGGATTAGAAGTGGCATCAAGGTAAGTCCTACTACACGAGGCCCAAGGGATATCCCATGGAGCTTTACAACAAGGGTGGTCTCTTCAATCTCCTGAGGATCCTCAGTTGGTCCCTGGGGATCCGGTGGACATCCCTTATATTTACCCTGTACACTGCCCAGAAGTTTTTTCATTTAGGATTCGATACATGAGTTACCCATGTCCTGACATAGATCAGCCCAGAGGTTGTTTCAGGGTTGGATCTGCGAGTTAGCCATGCCCTGACTTATATCAGCCCAGAGGCAATGTTTCAGTGTTAGATAAAATAGAGGATTTCAAAATCACAAACATTTCAAAGTATACTTGTTTTATACCTTATTACTATAGACCTATTAAACTACAGTACATCTACAGTCGTTAACTAAACAAAAAGAAATGTTAACTTTGGTATGTGAGAGTGAATCTGGCATATAGTCAGTTTGGCATTGGTGTAATTATTCGTCAAGACAGTATTTAATAATAATATGCAATCTGTGGTGGAAAATGCATGATTTGTACCCATATGGTTCTAGCAATATCCACCATGCAAGCATCAGGAACATAGCTAACTAATTGGTACACTGAGAACCTGTGCTTCACTGGTGATGGTGCCACTAGTGACTACATCCCATTGGACCAGTGGTTAAACTCAAAGCATTCGGTTGAGGCTGCAGGTTACAAAATCTACGTTATCCTATCTTGTAACCCCAATTGAATGATTTGTTTGACACAAGTAGCCATAGCAGTTACGTCCAGTTATAAACAAAAATGATAACTGGCTGTGGGAAGATTGCTATATAACGACAATTAATTATACAGCTTCTCATTAATCCCATATAGGTAACTGTCCAATTATTTTCTTAATTGGACAGGTCTTGTTGATATGGGATTAATTAGGTAGCTATATAATTAATAGATGATGAGATTTCATGCTCCCCAATCAAGAAATGATTAGACTCGAAAAATTCCTCTGACTGCCAAATTGAACTCAGCCTACGGTCTCATCCAATTTTGGAAGTCCTCGGAATTTTCCTCGTCCAATTATTCCTTAACTGGACAGCATGGAGTCCTATTACATATACTAATTCTCTCTTAATTTCTAGGTAACATGGAAATCAGCAGTATGCTCAAATCACAGATATTTAGATGTACTCCTAAAGTGCACTACTCTTGAGAAATATAATTAGATTTAATAGAAATAGAGTTCCTAATTTCTAGAATTTGCTCAAACTGGATGTTACTCCTGTTGCATTATGGTCTAGCTTGGGTACTTACTCTGTAARACTATCTATGCCACCCACAGGCAGGGAGAGAAGTGCTTTTCTCTCCAATGACTCTTGAAACTAGATTGGACATGGCATTCGACCTTATTAGGTTAATCAAAATTTAATGATAATCATACCCGTACTAGACCATGATGTAACATTCTTAAACACAAGGAAAGCCCCCCACTGTGAAAAATATGACTATTAAGAGAATAGACTCGCTTATAGGGGGGATGACACACCTCAAGAGAAGGTGCTTAGATAAAATATAGAGTATACCCCCACCACTGAGATGTTGAATTTTCTTCAGGTGGCTTTATCTTGGTGTTATTTATGCTAAGGGATGTGAAGATGTTGGTTTGTTTTAGTTTAGGCTTTTCTTAATTACATTGTAAAAGACTGTACAAGAGGATTGTGGATTTATCAACAAGCACACTTGTCTTGGTTTGGCTGTTGGTCTGTGTTCAAAGCATTGGCTGGCCGGCCTGTCATTGGTTTGTGTTGGACACCTGATTCGGCGGCATTCAGATCCAAACTGAATAAGAGAATGAGTATAAAATTAACAAGGGCACCATTACATCCCATCCAATCCCATCCATCCCCTTTCCAGTCCATCCCATCCACTTATCATTCTAGCCTCCCATCCATTCATCCAAATGTAACATCGTTAAGAGTAAAACATACCTTCCATCTTGAATATTTTGGTAAATCTTTTTAGCTGTTTCTAGGAAAGCATCTTCAACATTTTCACCCCTGAGACAAAAAAAATACAAGATAAAAACAAACATATAGTGAGGGTTAAAACTGGATGAAAAATAACCCAAAATGCCTAGGAACCCAGGTAAACAACACAATAATTACTCACGTTTTTGCACTAGCTTCACAGAATAACAAACCTAAGAAGCAAACAGAAGTTTTAAATAATAAATCCAAGTGTATAATATGTTGCTGCGGTTTAACATATTATTCTGCAAACTAAGTAGTTGTGAGCTGCAAGATGATTTTTTTTTTGCTGCCATCAATCACAAATAATCAGTCGACCTACCTTTTCGTTGTGGACTGGTGGCAGTAAAAAACCGATTTCATGACAAGCCGTTGAAATGTTCGAGTTCGCAGAATATTGAAAACTGCAGTAATGGAAAGTTGACAAATTTTAAACACTGCAATGAGTGCAAGAATGCCCCCAAAAATCAACAGAAGCTCTTAGGAGGAATTTACACATAAGGAAGTGAAACATTACTGACATTGCACAAAAACTAACCATTTTCTTCTGCAAATTGTTTTGCTTCTTCGTATGTGACATCTCTCTGAAAAATAAACACATTTTAACAACTTGAATCTCACATCCTATAAACCTGTAAATGTACATAAGAGTGTTTAGCAACTCCTTCCAATATGGAATATATTTTCTCCCAACTAGCCGTCAATATTTTGTGTTATTGCTGTCTCAAGATCACAATTAGTTTATGGTGTTTCTAGTTATTTTATATATCAATACTTGCATACCTGTGCATCGAGGTCTGATTTATTACCAATAAGAAATATAACCTGGATGGAAACAAAAAAAACAGGTAACCATGGTGATGTGTCAGGGCCTAAAATAATGGATGGCCATTCGCTGGTCATGATGACCGGCCAAATTAGTTTTAGTTTGGTCATATCTTGTTTCTGACTCAACATTACTGGTCAAAATGACTGGCAAGTCAAAGATTTGACCAGACAAGTTCCAATTCTGGGCAGACATTGTCCGATGTGTTGCATAGCTAAGGCCCCCAACCACAGGAATCCCAAAAAGAGGTATACGATAATATATTCGTTATATACACATTGTATTAGTTCTATTTTACTTTTTGGTACAATAAAATATGTATGTATGTATGTATGTATGTATGTATGTATGTATGTATGTCACCCTCTCCACCCCTTGGGAATTCCAATTTCCTTTCATGGGTAAGTTATGTAAGCTTCCTGGAGCTAAACAAACAAAATACTTCAATATGTAGACAGGAATATTTGCTGTGATTTTGAGCCTCAATGGCCTCCAAATTCATGGGCTGTGATTGGATGGTGTTGATTTTCTCACTCTCTGATTGGTCCAAAGCAGAAGCCATTTGAGATGCATGGTATAAAAATGTTGTCTGAGTGATAAGCTGTTTTGTTACATACAGTGTTAGGATTGGTAAGGTTTCTTGCATCTGTTAACCAGCTACTGAGATGATTGTATGTACTTCTCCTGCAACACATTAAAAACACAATAATTATCACCAAAAACATGTCTGTTTTACAGAACAAATCTAAGTGAGGGCTCAGATATCAAATTGGGTGTTGAGTTTTGCAGAGGGAGGAAATACCACTCTTCATTTCTGATCACCTCTCAAATTCTAATTACATGTGATGCTAAGTAAAGGAATAAAAGTGGGAAGCACCGGTGGCGTGCGCTGCTAATGCACCGCCTCTCACCAATGCAGCCCGAGTTCGAGTCCTGGCGATCTCTATGTCGTATGTGAGTAAAGTTGTTTGTTGGTTCTCTCCTGTGCTTTGAGGGTTTTCCGGGTTCTCCAGTTTTCCTCCATCCTCAAAAATCAACTTCTAAATTCTAATTTGATCTCTGGGCTTTCACTTAGTTTGGAGCCTAGCTCTGTTGTGATTGTCCAACGCTGCGATACAACAGCGAAAAGCTTTGTAGAATCAAACCTGAGACCCCAGAGGTGGGTGACAAGCGCACCACTGCTACACCACCTTTCATTCCCTGATCACCTCTCAAACTCTATCTGCATGTGATGCTGAGTATAGGAATCAAACGCGAGACCCCAGAGGTGAGATACAAGTGCCCTACTCCTACGCCACCCTTGATTCCCTGTTCACCACTGATCACAGACAGGTACTAACAAACATACCAACCTTGTGATGTCATATACCATGAGTGCTCCTGCTGCACCCCTGTAATAGCTTCTTGTGACAGCCCTATATAGAGGGTCAARCAATATCGATAAGCATATCAGTAACCTGGGCCCGGTTGTATGAAGCCTGGATAGCGCTATCCGACGGATAAATCTCATCCAGTGGATAAATCTATTGGATAACAGCATTAACTTATCCACTGGATAAGGATTTATCTGCCGAATAGCGCCATCCAGGCTTCGTACAACCAGGCCCTGATGGATAAAATGTTAAAATGTTTGGGTACATGGGAGGTATGATAGTCACACACCTAAAAGAATACTGAAATAAAGCTTAATTGCCACAAACCTGAATCTTTCTTGTCCAGCCGTGTCCCATATCTGAAGTTTGATTTTTTGACCAGCAACTTCAATAATTCTTGTTCCAAACTCCACACCAATTGTATGAGGACAGTCAGCCATAACTGAATGACAAAAAAGAATAAATGATAAGAGTAAAATATAAAGTCTAATGTTCACTCAAAAGCTCTCTTATTCTCCTCTCTCCTCGCTAGAGTATGGAAACATTAACGATGTCCATCTTTTTATCACATGTTCTTGAGCATATTTATGTTTTGAATCAAGGGAAACATGGGTGGCATAGTGGTGAGAGCGCTCTCCTCTTGCCAATGAGACCCGGGTTCGAGTCCCGCTTGGTGTCGTATGTGAGTAGAGTTGCTCGTTGGTTCTCTCCTGTGCTTCGAGGGTTTTCCGGGTTCCCCAGCTTTCCTCCCTCCGCAAAAATCAACTCCTAAATTCCCATTGGAATGACAGTGGATGAATAGCTACTCTGTAGAAATGCCACTGCTAAATCCCATTTATTTATTTATTATTTATTTAAATGTAAAAACATGAACTGGATTCAAAAATATTTCAATAACGAGATGCCATCATTCAACCTGTATAAGAACCCTCAAAATTTTCACATGAAAATCTGTTACAACTATCTTTATCATTAATAACTATTGTTGTAAAAGGTACTAATAAAATTATTTTATGTTGAAAATTCATTCTAGGTATTTGTGACATTGTAGATTCTTGTGTGGCTTACATTTCTTTTCTGTAAATTGATGAAGGAGGCATGACTTTCCAACACCCATATCACCTAATAAACGCAATGACAATGCATCAGATCCATTTAAATAACTATATCATAAAATTAATAATAATAATATTAATAATAATAATGATAATAATAAACTTTATTTCTATAGAATCATTTCCATTTCTGTCCAACGGTGCTATTCAAAACCTATGTCAAAAAACCTTGTCAGATGAAGATCTAAGATGGCCATTCTGAGACAAAATGGAATGTGTTTTTAAGTTTTCTGGCTAAAATATGAAATCACATTCCTAACTCAACGGTCATGCTTCATATTGCAATCTGAAAGTCAACTACATTTTGGGACTTATTACTCGATCTCGGATTACAGATCTCCGACCGAAAACATTTTTTTTGAAATATGTGTGTAATATAACTTTTCAACACCCATGTCACTTAATAAATGCAATAGTATCAAATCAGAATCATTTATATATTATTCGCCGAAGGCAAAATGATTATTGGTAATATTCACCATAATCACTGAGCCTGAGGGGAATTGTTTTTAGTATAATTTTAGACTTGAATATCAGAGAAAAGACGAAATTAAGGATTAAAAACTCTTTTGGTATTACTTCTGCTCTGACGAACTTTGGAAAACCTCATAATCACCTCTCGAGCAGTGAATATCGTCTCAGAATCACTGGTAGCTCGACCAATCACAGCACATGAAACTCTATATTCAAGCCTAAAATCATACTTATAATCTAACATCTCTTCTAAGATGGGAGCTTAATATAATAACAACGTTATATAGATAGACTTAATGAAATAAGAGCAATTTTACAGTAGTTTTTTCCGTACAGTCAGAAAACGTTCTTACCTATTATAATATATTTGAAAATATAGGAGTAATTGTACGGTCCTGTTGCTGCCATCTTTGCGATCTGTAAAGACGTAATCAACGAAAGAAAAAAAATACTTAACTTGTACAAGTTTGTTCTTTAATTTATTGAAAGTTGAGAACGTTGCTTCCAATATTTTCAATGATCTTTGCTTATAGGGATTCTAACTGGATCTAAACAACTGGGGAATTAAAGGAGATGGTGAGGAACTGCGGAGATGTAAGGCATGGCTGAGGAAAAGGGGRAAAAAATGAAGGATTCCACGTGTAATTTCCTAAAATTTTTAGACGAAGTCCCCTTGTGAAGTACGAATTTTTGTACCCACCCCCCAGTACTCTAGAACATAGGAAATATATAACATCTGTAACGAAACAAAATATAGGCAGGCCGCTCACACAGGCAGCTAGGATAAAGAGGAATGCTATTAATTTAGCAAAATACTGCTCACCTGGAGGAGAATCACAAAGCAAAGATCAAATCCGGAAGACGAATACAAGAAAAGATGGCGGATCCCGTGATTCTTGCGATAACACCGATAACAATGCATCATGGGGGATTTATAACACATCGGAAACTACTCGGGTTGGATTAAATTTAGAAAAAAAACTATCGATCGGTTGGAAAAAAWTTTTCTAAATCTCTTTTTCTTCAAGAAATAAAACGTTAGGAACATTTTGATGCTTATCAAGGTGTGAGGAAGGCAGATAAGGAACAATATATTTATTCAACCCCTTCAGAGAAAATTAGTCCGTTTTTCACTCCCATTTTCTTCAAAACCATATATATAGCTACAAAAAAACATTTAATATATCATATGTGTTTAAAAAGAATATAACAAAACCAGTAGTAGAATAAAATGAACATTACTTTGAATCTAAAAAATGAAAAGATAAAAAATAAAGCGTAAACCGAATGTTTATCGATTGGTACGATGCAATATAGACGTGTAGAGTCCAGCCCCTTTAGCGTGGTTCGAGTGTTTTGAGGAAGGGTTAAAAAAAAAACATGGCTACCACAGCAAGGGGATTCTTCAGGCATATTAATCACTGTTATTGCCATCTCCTCCTCTTTCAACCATGACATCTGTGTGGAAGAAACTTCAGAGGGTTGGCAAGAATGCCTCCAAGTTCCAGTTCACTGCAACTTTTGAGTCTATGACAGTAGAATGCTCTAAAAGTGGAAAATGGTGAGGCTTGTTCGATAATTTTAACATGGGGTTAACATTCATTTTTGATTCTAATTTTGACGGAAACTAGATACTCAGTACTCTTCTCTTCTGTTATTATCAACCAAAGCTACTAATCTAAAATCTAAAATCCTTACAGTCCTAGTTTACTTTGTGACCGGCGAGGAACATTACATTTATTTACATTCATTCATTGATATTGGTCTAGTTTTATCAAATTAAAATGAAATCTTCTATACAGTTTTGAAGCATATTCTCTTTTCTTTTTCACACTGTTGTATCGAAAGCAAACCCTATTTTCTTCATCGCCAAACCTGACACTAAGTTTTCGACCCAGGCTTTTWAAAATCCTAAAAAAAAATTCTAAGATTCATAACATCTGTGAATAACTCGAGCTCAATATCAACTCTTCTAAATATATAAGCATAATTCTGACTTATTATAGTTCAGTATCTTTAGTTTTTATTTTGAAATCTCCCAATTAATGTGTTCATGCGAGACTATCTTTAATAGTTGTCTGACAATTTAACCGGAAAGAGTTTTGAATTTCTTGAATTATTGAAGACATCTCATCTTTATTCCTTGACATATGATTGTTCTGGAATGACGGAAGGAATATTTATATAGAATAATTATGTCCAATATTTCTTTAAGTAACGTTTTCTAAGAACTTGATATTTTTTTTGTTTGTAAACACCTTTTGACAAACTAACATCTTGTGTTAATGTTTTTTTTTTTGGTCAATTTAAATAAATAATACAATCAATAGTTGTTGTCTATTGTCACTGATGTTTAGTTTTTCACAGACATTGGTCCAAAATCAGATAGCTATCTCTTTTAAACATCCTCTTATATAGTCACAAGAGGATTTGTGAAAAGTAAATATTGTAAAGAGCTTACTTTGCAAGCAAGAACTTGTAGAAAACATATTAAAAAACTTCTTAGAAACCTCACCTTTGACCTACGTTTTACTATTCATTCCAGTGTTAAATTTTCCTTGTATATTTCTGTTGCTTGTAGATGATTTAATCTTTAGTTAGAAGAAAATTTTACCATCAAAAAGGGTTGTCAAAATCTTAATTTTTATTTACAATAATAGTTGGCATTCTCCTGGAATAAATAGCTTGCTGAAAAATGATACTTAAAGTTATGTAAAAAAGATTTTATTGGATTCTTTAGAACCTCATTGAAATACATTGTATTAGATAATTAATCTGTGTTGACATTTGTCAATCATTTAGACATATATGTGCATTATTTTATATTCTATATTCAGTAAATTCTTTRCGGATCTTCAACAAAAAATCACATTTTGCTGTTTCTGTTAAGACACATTCTGCCTCCATAATATTTTAATTTCTGATTACTTTCCAGGCAGCCAAATAAACTTTGTATTATATGGACAAGAAGAAAAAGAAGGAAGTGTTCTAAAGTAAGTTCATTAATTAATATGTTGTTATTGGACGATTGTACACTCTTTGTTTTAAATTTCTGTATTGATTTCTAGATTATTTTCCATGCATTTAGTTTTCATTATTTTTTTTTTTATTGTTTCTTTATCATTCACTCAATTCTTTTTTTATTCATTCTATCCTTTCCCATTTATCCATTCTTTCATGTTCATTCATTCATCCATTCATTCATCTATCCATCCATTCATTCATCCATTCATTCATTCATTTCTTTCATTCATTCATCGACCCAACCTTACTTTCCATCCTTCCTTTCTTTATTCCTCCTTTATTNCATGCAAATGGCCCACTCTTCACTGAACTTGCATTTTATCAGAGTAGCAAAGCCTGACAACAGTGAGTATTTTGGTGTTTAGTTTGTGATGCTTTAAAGTCACAGGACGATATATCCATCCATCCATCCATCCATCCATCCATCCATTCATTCATTCATTCACCCACCCATCCATCTTTTCATCCATCCATCCATCCATTTATTAATTTATTTCCCCCATTAACTCATACATGTGGCTAAACATTTATAGTCCAAAAGTGAAAAAAATTCAGGAATGAAATATCAAAACAAATAAAAATTACAAGAAATAATGGCTTTTATTCGATAGTTACATTCATGGAACCCTGGCATCACCAACCCATTTAGGGGCATCATCACGTGGACGGAACCAGAAGAGATGGAAATAACTGTTACATTATACAAGGTCTGATTTTTTTTCTATATACTCGTATTTTGGAATATTAATCCTATATCCTTTGAAAAACTCTCAGAGCAAACGAAGGAACCAGCAAACTACTATTGTTATGTCTCATTTTTAGGATCCCAGACCAGGTAGCCCTTATGAGGACAAGGAATGGACTTTTGTCATTGAAGATGTAAGTTAGTAGTTTATCATTTCAAATGTAATTATACAATTTATGCTAATGATTTTTTTTGATAATTTTTTTATTTTATTTTTGTATTGTTAGGAATTTAAGGATTTAAAAAAAAAAAAAAATACTAAATTGAATTTCAAAAAAAGGAAGAAAAAAAAAATCCAAAAAACTTTCAATAGAGCCTCAGGATTTTATACTTTTGATAGACATGTTTCAGCGTTTCTTACCTAATCTACAGCATATCTTTATTAGCGAGAGTGCGAGATGACATGGGAAACTTTGAAACATGTTTATCAAGTGTAATTTCATTTCTCAATATACTGTTACATTTGCCGCTGCTGCTTATACCAAAACTCCAGGTCTGGATTTTTTAAAATTCCACTGGAGAATTCTAAAATGGAGTATTTATTTATTAAGAATGGGGTGCACTTGATTGGCTGATGCTGATTTTAGTTATTATCAATAAATTATACAGGAATCAACTTCTGGCCGTAGAAAGGCGATAGCTCATGGAACTATTAATATGGTAGACTATACAAGCCTTGGTCTCGAACAGAAAGATGTTAGACTCAATTTGAAACTTGCTTCTAAGAAGTTGGTCTGTGCAAGCTTGGATTTCAAGATTTCTTGTATTCTTATTAAAGAGGGAAAGGCAACGTAAGCAATGATTTTTTTGCATAATTTAAAAAATTCCTCTTCGGAAGCTACAGATTTATTTGATTGTGAAAATGATGATGATGATCCTGGTAGGGATTCATGACTTGTGATGGTGGTTGATGATGGTGATGATGATGAAGTTGTTGATGGTGATGATGATGGTGATGGTGATGGTGATGATGATGGAGATGATTACACTGATGATAATGATGGTGATGTTCATACACCCCACTTCTTGGTCTCTGTCTGGTTCATTGTCATCAGTGTCCAGGTTTGTTGCTGATTTTAAAGAATCTAAAACAAAATGCACAACAAACTATGTCAGTGAAAAAGAACGGACAAGTAGCTTTCTAGTTATGACAAAGCAGTAGTGAGTTATGACACCAAAACAATGATGATCATGATTAGTGGTGATGTTGATGATGAAGGTGATGATGATGATCATTTATAAAATTTCAATATTCTTTGTTTCCATGACAACAGTGACGAGGACATGATTAGTATTGGCAGTATGTTGAGTCTTAATGATATTGGAAGCCTGAATGACTTTGAGGTGGAGCCAACAGTTGCCACTCCACAGCCGACACGTCGATCTGGCCATAGTCGTAACTTATCACATGGAAATTCCTTACCAAGAGGTAACTGCAGATTTTACAGACAGATTTTATCGTAGATCTGACAGACCTGACAAATTAATTTTTATACAGTCGACTCTCCCGTATGTGACCACCCAGGGACCAGGAGAAAGTGGTCGCTTACGGGAGATGGTCGCTTATGAGAGTGGTCGTTCAAAGAGAGTCGACTGTAGTAGAAAAAGTTTTAACGGTTCTAATAAGTATTATGTGATTGGTATAATATTTGTCCCACTTCTCAGGCATAAACCACTCTTTTAAAGATTTAAACTATTGCATCTTTGTGAAGAAAGTATTTCCTTCATAAGCCAATATACTTACTTTCATATCATGATAATGCTTTTAGTGTTGTCCAAGAAAGAAGAATCAACAGAATCTACTGACACCACCCCAAAGAGTACACCAATGAGACCGAAACGAACAAGGTCCAAATCCACTACCCCATCAGGTGATAAATACACTCTGCCTGGTGAGCAAGAAACAGATGAAAGAAGGTATGACGGGCTCAAGAAAAAGATTTCAATGAAAGGGGGAAATGGTCTAAAAAAACAGAAAAGGGGAATTACTTTTGTACTAACTATACATTTCTTTTAAATTTTCGACACTTTTGAAAGCCTTTAACTCTGCTTCTTTTTATTGAAACATGTTCAAACTTGCCAGACTTACATATCTTGAGATGCTTTCTAAAATGAAAACTTTTTGTGTTTTTTTTTTTTTTTTTGCCAATTATATAAAAATTCCAAACTTACTCTGTCCCTTGCTCATCCTTGAAATGGGCAATGATTGATTTAAAATATAAGTATTTATTTTTTAGAACAACCTCATGCACGAGCTATGCTAGCACGAGCTAGCTAATGGTTTAATATTTGAAATCTGTGTGCAAGCCTTCATTTTACTGATTAATGCTATTGGTAAATGGTCAAAATGTCTAGTTATTAGTTAAAATCAGAGACAAAGCAAATATTATCGATAACACAGAATATATTCATTTTTATTCTTAGGTTAAGTAGTACATCACAGGTGTCGCCTGAAACAGATGACACACCAGTAAGATATAACTATTAAATATAACATGAAAATTCTACAATATTCTAGAATAATTGTACTTCAAAATAATAGGCTCACTTAAATTTTAAATGAGTATTTTTTCATTCGCAGGAGGTTATCAAAGATATAAGCAAAGCTGAAGAGGATTTGACAAGTATGTTCTTGTTGTAGATACTTTACTGTACTTTGGGCGTAATGTTTTCCCATTCCAGACTACGTCTCATTCCCTTCAGAATTATATTTTTATTTGTTTACTAGTAATACCTAATAAGGTACATGAATAAATGTGGATGAAACTCAAGCAAATAAACTTATACTTGGGCAATGAAATGTGGTCTGAAATGAGAAATGGGAAAACTTTATGTCCTAATTAAAGAGATGTAATAAATGTCATAACCATTCTCTTTAATATTATTTCTTTATTTATATATTTTGTTATTTATATATATATTGTATATTTACATATACACCGACTTGCAAGAACGTTGTCATACGAAAATAGAACATTAGTGATTTAGTGGGATAGGAATTGTATTAAAAAACAGAAGAAGATCACTGAAGCTGAACTTTTTCTCTTGTCTTTTAATGTATTCCTTTCTCAYTAAATYACTAATGTTCTAATATCGTATGWCAACGTTCTTGCAAGTAGGTGTATATATATTATATTAATCTACCTGACAAAGTGCATACGAATTGCAGAATGAAATTCTCAAAATATTTGAAATTGGATGACATTTAAAAAAAGCAGAATAATATTTTTAATTATACAGCTTCTCATTAATCCCATACAGGTAACTGTCCAATTATTTTCTTAATTGGACAGGTCTTGTTGWTATGGGATTAATTAGGCAGCTATATAWTTAATAGRTAATGGGATTTCATGCTGTCCAATCAAGAAATAATTAGACTTGAAAAGTTCCTCTGACTGCCAAATTGGACTCGGCCTACGGCCTCATCCAATTTTGTCAGTCCTCGGAATTTTCATCGTCCAATTATTTCTTAATTGGACAGCATGGAGTCCTATTACATATACTTATTAGATAAAGGAAATTGACTATTATTTATTTATCAGAATGGTGCAAAACCTGTACCAAAGGATATAAAGGAGTCAAAATAAAAAACACCACTACATCCTGGCGAGATGGACTCGCTTTCTGTGCAATTCTACATCATTTCCATCCGGATCTTTTGTGAGTAAAACACCTTGTTCCTTCTTTTTTTTTCTTTTTTTTTTCATTTTCTTACCTTGTTGACTTCTCTTAACCACTTACAGTTATTTCCTTGTATCTTAGTGACTTCGATTCATTGAGTTCAGAAAATATAAAAGAAAATAATAAATTGGTAAGTCAGTTTGAGTTTCTCGTTCATCCATCTTTTTTGCTTTTTCGTTGTCGTTTCATGAAGAAATAGAAAACGCGCGTGCTTGCTGTTGCAGTTACTGTATAAAGCACGCGGGGATTGGTAGAACACGAGAGAAATGTTAGGAAAAGCACGACGTGTAGCGGAGTTTTTCTGGACACTTCTCGAGTGTTCTGCCAATCCCCAAGTGCTTTATAATTCCACACAGCACAGCAAGCAAGTTTTTGATTTCTTTTATAAAATGCAAAGGGCGCTTGCGTGCTGTGTGCTCTCATAAATCATGCGCTCCCAACCAATCAGAATGCCAGATTTATAACAGTTATTTTATGGTTGTTCTTACAATGATGTTCGACTGTATCTATACTCTAATGATTTTTTATTCTACATTCACAAGGCTTTCGACGAGTATGAGAAATTAGGCATCCCACGGCTGTTAGACCCGATGACCATGGCTATATCATCCGTCCCTGACAAGCTGTCAGTAATGACGTATCTCTTCCAAATAAAGACTCACTTTACTCAACCAAAACACCAAGCAACTCCACACCGCAAACACAAAACGTTTAGTCTTTTCCGCAAAAAACATTCTTCCTTAATGGAAGATCCCAAGGAGAAAGAAGAGGACGAAAGATTTCGCATGAAACTCGAGGCAAGACTAAGCCAAAATATCGAAGATTTTAATTTTCAAGAAATCCAAAAAGAGATCTTAACTGATAATGTCGAGGATTTGAAATCGAAACCTAATGAACTTAAGAAAACTGACTCGACACGTGACAAGGACAATAACGTGGGTCTTAAGGTTATTACAGCCGACTTAACGGAGCATGCGTCAAGCGAAGCAACCGCTGTACGGAAAGACCTTGATGTTGTAGCTAAGAAACGGGGACCGAGGAGTATCGATGTGGACGATGTTAAAAGAAAGTCAGGTTATAATCCTTTTGATGATGATGATAGTCCACCATCTGTGCCTGAAATCTCAACTCCCTGTGATTCAACATTAAAAACGGACATTTCCGAGGTAAAGAAAGTTGAGAGTGCAAAGAGTAGTATACCTCCGAAGGAGTACAACCCTTTTGACGAAGATGAACCAGAGTCACCCTCCCAAGAGACCAATCGCCTTGCGGAGATTATTTCTGAAAGCAAGCCTACAACCGGTTATAACCCGTTTGATGAAGACAGCGACCAGGGACCTAGTAGTCCCGTGGATAAACCGAATACAGATACGGAGACAAGAACTAAGGCAGAAACGACCCGAAATGATAATACTTCTCAAACGCGGCTTGGGTATAACCCCTTTGAAGAAGATGAAGACGAAGTTGTTGAACCTAGTAAAGAAAAACCTGCTGCAACGGGGTATGGTTATAATCCGTTTGAAGATGACGAGGAAGAGAATAAGCAAGAGAAAAAGAATATTCCTGAAGGGACTAGTAAATCTGCACAGTTTCAGAGAACACGGCTGACGGCGAGTGGAAGAAGAATAAAACTTCCCGCGCCTAAGCCGAGAGGAGTTCCTTATCGACCAAAGCAGGAGCAGCCTATCGCGGTAAGAATAAGAATACAAGATATAAGAATGTTTGGGTGCCATCCAACATGGCTGCTGTTAAGCTAAAGTCTTTGTAGAGTTTAAGGTTTTGCGTAAGCATATAAGAGTCGCCATGCTGGAGGACAAAATTAGTGACATCCACAATAACTCCTGCCACAGGATGCCGATAATTTAAAATATCCGTAGTTATATAACACCTTATGACATAAACCATAAAGATGGCTTCCAGACATGCTGTTTTTCAATATTTAGGTTATTTTTAACAATAACCTTCCTTTCTTATTCCATCCATCTCACGTTCGCGTGGAGTTTAGTAAGATAATTTTTCAAATAATCTTGTGTTTTCAGGTACCTAGAACCACTATTCCATCGAAGGAACCCCCCAAACAAGGTGATAGTGACAGTCCTTGGATGCCCAGAACATCAAACCACGACTCACCAGTAAGTATTCTATATCTTCTATATATATCCGTCGGGTTCCCTGTGGGAAAATAGGGGAGACTGAGGAGGGTGACGGAACCTTCCCAGTTCGATATTTAGCTGAAGTGATCATCCACAGGTAGCCCGTCTTAAGTATATTCCTGAGAGAGGCGAAATAGGGATGTATAATTCAAGCCCTTTTGTTTTTAAAACAGACCCGTCGTCGTCTACCTCGCGACCCTAAGCTAAAATCCACCAGACCAGCTCCACGTCCACCTAGTGCAGTAGCCAAACCATCAACCAAGCCACCACCAATACCAACACTGGAAGAATGGCGGAAAACAAAGGAAGCCCAAGTCAAGAAAGACAGCCCAAGAAAGTTGGCGCAACCTAAACGACCTGCGCCAAAACCACCAGGCGCGAGACTGGAAGTAAAGCCGACGGAAAATAGTGACATTTTGGCTGATAAGGTTGATGGCGAGATTAGTGAAGTGAAAATTGAAGATAAAGAAGGTGTAAAGATTGAAGAGTTAAGGCCTGACGAAARTGAAGCCACAAACAGCGAAGCGTCAATGTGTGAGGATTTGAACATGGATGGCGCCAAGAAGGCGGAAACAAAAGAGGATTCTGCAGAACAAGAATCTGAGAATCAAGAAGGGTTGAAGGCAAAGGAAGAAGAAATAAAAGAGGATTCTGCAGAACAAGAATCTG